TAGAAGTACAATTGCTGCCAAGGGAGGTGTACAGGAGGACCAATACTGACTCTCTATCTCCTTTCTTCCTTTCTTCTTCCACTACTCCTACACAGTGAGCTTGGGCCAGAACCTCTTTACTTTACCAGCCAGAGGTTTAGATGTGCCTCCAGTCCCTTCCAGGATAAGTCAAGGTGTTCAAGGCCGTGAGGCTTCTCCAGCACCCTGCAGTAAAGTGGTTGTCACTCCAGGACTTCTCAGGTTTTCAAGGGAGGTCCCGGTCACGTCCACATCCACAGTGCAGCCTGTGTTCTTCCTTCCACTGCTTCACCAAGGGCCTCAAACCGCTGCCATGGCCCTTCCAGAGCACAACAGCTGCACAGCTTCAGAGCGGAACTCACCAACCTACAATCCTGCAGGTATGGAAACAGCTTCTGCACTTGCTTTTCAAAACATACTAAAAAGTGATAGGTTTAAGTATCTTTCTACAATGCTCTGTCACCTGTTTATCTCAAGCGAGAATCAGATAGAAAGCGCAAGGTCTAAAAGGAAGAGAGATCTTGAAAGCAAAAAGATTCACACTCTGGTTTTCCTATCCTTCCTCCAGATTTAGAGCATCCCCTGGGGGTTTTGCACACAGCCTCTCTGTTGAGGTGAAAGGGCAAGGAGAAAAGCATTTGCCCACAACTAGTCGGTGTTAGGTTGACTTTCATCTTTCTTTTAATTAAGCAAAACTAGGACAATGATAGGATAGTGCAGATTTTTAAGATTATCTGTCCTGCAAAGAATGACATTACTTTTAGATGACCTCTGTGTGTTACCCAAACAGTCCTACCTGGAGAACACTGTTCCACAACGCTGCTTTTTAGAATAAAATCGCAGTTCAGTTTTGGTGTGTGCGTCTGAAGATGTAATCTCGTCTTAGGTGAATCCGCTTTCAGTGGTATGTTGTGATGAGAAACCAAAACAGCCAAATCAAAAAGCTGATGGGAAGATACAGAAGTCTGCAATTATGAAGCTTTTATGTGTGTGTACAGACTTTACAATCCATATTTTAATACTTTATATAATATATATAATTTATGTATAATTTCAATGTACACATCAACTAGAATACTTTTCTTTAAGATTAATAAATCGGTAATTGGTCTTCAGATGACCCGGAGAGCACAAATACATTTCTGGAATTGAGTTTACTGTGTGATTCCTGAAATGTTTAATCAAAGGAAGCAACAGAGCTCTGCAAACCAAACCCAAATTCTGGAAGCCTGATGACCGTGTTTGGATTCTTGCAGCCACACTGGGGAGTTCAGCCCCCGATTCTCTGACTGGCAGTGCTGGTTCTGCAGCATCAACGATCTCCAGCTGGGCCTGTAATCCCTCTGCTGCAGACGAGTGGGCAGGAGTAGATCCGGAAGTTGTGTTTCAGATGCTCGAGGAGGTGCTTGCATCAAACCTGCCTGAAATGTTTCCCTTTCTTGAGGTAACTCCATTCAATAGCAATGCTGGGGGCTGGACTGACCTGTTTTTAATGTAGTTGCCCGCCTGGGAAGTAAAGGCTTCTTTAATTCAGCTTCTAATGGACAGCAAAGAGTTTGGTTGGTAAAGTTAAGGTTTAAAGAAGAAGAGGGACTGAAAAAGTATCCCACATTCATGAGTGTGAGGTGGGTTAGCTTGTGTTGGCCAAATTAGGGGACTCATTTTCTTGGGAATAATACCTCCTGCAGTTGCATTCACAGTGATGAAGTGGAAGCTTTGTAGGTTATAACATGATGTCTTGGATCCTAAATAAGAGAAGAGTATTTTGAGCATTACCACTGAAGGCAAAGTCTCACACGCAGTGAGGGGCATGTGAGAGGTCCCTCTGTTGCAGCACCAGATGTGGGCTCTAGCTCTTTCTCTTTTGAACCCCAAAGAAAGCCAAGAGCTGCACTGCACCTGGTGCTGCTGCCCGTGGCTCAAAGTGCTGTGGTGTGCATGTGCTGGAGTTGCAGCAGTTTATTGTCCTCTTTGTGTTTTGAGGTCTCCAGTAAAGTTTCTGGCTTGGAAATCCTCAGCCGGAGCAAACTTACCCCTACTGCTCTCCATGTCCCATAGCTTAGTCATCTTCCTCTTGGGTATCCCTCTTTCTAGAAAGGGATATGTATTCTAATCTAAAGTCCCTGCAAAGCTCCAGCCTCGATGGGACTGTTCTGCTCAGTGCAGTGCAGGGAAGAGCACGTCCTTACACCAGCACACACGGAGTTGGCAGGACTCTTTCCTTAGAGCCCTCTCAGTGTATTGGGTGTCACCTGCACGTTAAACATTGTCAGCTTTGACAGCTTTTGAACTGTGTTTGAGAAGTAAATCTCCATTTTTAAGGCCTTTGGGGCCCAGACTTCCTTGTTAGCAAGGAGGGATTAAGTGTGTAAGCCATGGAGTTGTTGTGGGGCAGGCGTTTGGGTTTTGAGGCCCCATGACTTGTGTAATTGGTGTGAAGGACAGTGTTGGTCCTGGATGTGAAATGGTCAAGGACTTATTGAAGTGGTCAAAGGCTTATTCTGTGTTGAAGAGCGATTCATGGACTGTTAGATTTTTTGTTGGACAAGTTGCCTCTTTTGATTAGGAATCCCCTTTCTCTAACTCTTGCTCTTCCCAGACTTCTCTGGAATGTTCCGTTCCTGAATTGGCACAGGCCTTTTTGCTTATTGTTACACAACTTTGCCAAAGAATGTCTCTATTTCTATTGATGTACGGACCTGTTGCCTTTTGTATATTTAACATTGAGTAAGGGCAGAGTCAAGGTGGGGAGTGTGATTTTTTGGCATTACCAGTATCTTCTTCCCAAGTGTGATACCCTTTTGTCTACTGTAACATCACACATACCAGTTTTCAAAAGCGTTTGATTGCTTAATAGAAGGAAATGTTGCAGGCTCTGAGCAGTCATTCATCTCTGGGATTCTGATGGATAGGCTATGGCAGAAGAGATGAATATCCTAGAACTGGTCATAGTGAGAATATCTTTGTGCCTAAAGGTAATTTCCAGGTGCTTAATCTTGGGTCTTTACTTCCTCAGCGGAGCAGAAACATGACTTGGTTGTCTGGTTTTGGGGGGCTTTTTACCCTACAGCTTTCACTTTGGCAACCTTAATTCTGAGATTAAAGCACTTGTCCTGTAAACCATCTGAGCAGTGTTCACTTTGTGTTACACATCCTTCTGGAGCATAGAACAGTTTTTACTGTGTCCCTAAAGTGATTCCAAGAAAATATCGAGTGATCCTTGGGTTTATTTCTATTTGTTTTTCTTTTAAGGGGAATATTAGTGTTCCCTCTGAGTCTTCAGGAGGGGAGCCTGGGAACAAGGCTGCAGCAGAGAAAGCTTTGCCTGGCAGTGCGAGCAGCGGGAACAGTTCCCTGGAGCCAAATGAGCCTGGTAAGACGAGAGTCTACGTTCTTTTAGAGATGACCGAGACAGCTGCTCTAAGGCTGAGTATTACAGGAAGGGGAGATCAGAGCAGCTGAGTTATTGTCTGCAGTGTTAGTGCTTCCTTGTGCCTTCAGTGAAAATATTGTGCTTGTACAACCTCACAGAGTACTCACCAACACACTTCTCTAGATGTGCTCAGACCAGGTGTTCTTCTGTGCAAAAGGGTGTGAATTAGATCAGTGAACAAAACCCGACGTTCTGGGAGTTGCACCACCAACCCAGATGTGCTACAGAGGCAGTGCTGAGTAATGAGGTGACTATTAAAGCAACAGGGAGAAAACCCAGCAAACTGGTGATGTCAGTGTAGAAGTCCAGGCTTTTTGTCTCAAATCACTACCTACATTTAATACCAATCTGCTGATACCTATGCTGAGACACGTGAGAAAAACAAGAGGCAGAACATCCGAGGCCAAGCAATTCACAAATCCAGTAACTAAAGGAAAAACCTGAATGTCCCCAAATCAGCAAGACCCAAAAGGAGAGAGAGAGCACTTTATATCTATTCTAGAGCAAAGGTGGTGCAGGCTGCTGGCCTTGTAGGGAGGCCTTTTCCCTCCCAGCTGTTCCTCCAAGAGCTGATGGTAGAGTTGGAGGAACTGTTGCTCACTTCAGAGGGCAGTTTCTAGATCCCAGATAACGATGCTGGTTAATAACTCAGCTCCCATTGCCCATGAGTTTCAGCCATTTAAGTAAGGACTGAGGCCTTTGGCGGCACAGAGAAAGAACAAGGCTGGAGCTGTCTTTGTGAGATGTGACTGTCTCTGTTTACAGCTCTTGTGCCATTTGCAGGGTGAGTGCTGGGACTTTACTGGGTACTTCAAAACTTTAAAGTATTGAAAACTTGGAAGAATTCCTATTCTTTAAACAGCAGGCCTCAAATTCCCAAGTGAGAGCCTGCCTTTGAGGCCATCTTTTGCAGTCCCTGACAGGAGTACAACTGTTCGATGTGCTGCTGAGGAGAATGTACACAAGGACCCACAGTGACTCTGTTCCCTTTGTTTCCCAGAGGTCCATGAGCTGTACCTCGCCAGGAGAGCTGCTCTGCGTGGGAGGAAGCGACTGAGGGAGAGTCTGTGAAACAGGGCAGCTGGAATCCCTCTGTTTATAGTTATGTTTAAAGATGGGTAGAGTTACATTTCTAGATATAGTTGCATATTTATATTTATAGACGTATAGAGATGAAATAATATATTAATATCTATTATTATTTTAATATGACATTTAATATTATCAGTATTGTAATTATTACTAATATCAATATATTAGTAATTATATAATTATGTAATTTTATTATATTATCATATAATAATATAATTCTATATCGTTGTTATTAATATGTTCTATAGTTAGTACTATATTATTACAATATCTTATATTATTAGAATTATTTAATATTGTTTACAATTTAATATTTTTAATTTCTTTAAAAATATTATATCTATTATTTATTTATATTTATTTTATTTATAGATGTGCATATTTATATTTATATATGTATCGTTACATCTTTATATAGTTATTTTTATATATTATATTTATTTATATATATACACACTACATATAATTTTACATCTAGTTATATTTATAGGTGTATATAGTTACATAGTTAGATGTGTATGAATGTTTAGGTACGTATATTGATATTTGTATAGGTATAGGCTGCTTTCTCACCTCTGCTACCTTTTCCATCCCTCACTCTTCCCGCCGTGCCGCCTCTGTCCCCGCTCCCTGTGCCGCCTCTGGGCTGGTGGCCGGGCCGGGGGAGCAGCAGCTCCAGCCCCAGGTCCCGGCCCCCCGCACCCCCATGGGACTGGGGGAGCTTCTGGTGGCACCAGGCACCACTCCCCAAGGAGCTGCTGGAGGATGGTGAGGCTGAGGGGGCTGGGGGGGCTGAGGGGACGGCGATGCTGAAGGGACGGTGATGCTGAGGTGATGGTGGCACTGAGGGGACAGTGGGGCTGAGGGGGCTGGGGGAGCTGGGGGGGATGGTGAGAGCTGAGGGGATAAGGGAGTGGCAAAGGCTGAGGCAGTTGATGGGGCTAAGGGGCCTGTGACATTGAGATGATGATGGGGTCTGAGGCAAGTGGAGGGGTCTGAAGGGACTGGGGGAGCTGAGGGGACTTGGGGGCTCTGGGTTTGCCAAGGGCATGGTGGGGCCGAGGGGATAGTGGGGGACCAACGGGGAGCACAGTGGGGTCCAAGCCTGTCCAAGCCTGCTGGGCCACAGCACATGTTCCAGACTCTCCACTTTTGCCAGGACTGCCCTGAATTCCTTGTGAGCAGCAAGAGACTGATGAGGGCCAAGAGAGAGAAGCTGACGACCACCAGCCACATCTTGAACAGGGACCTGCTGCTGCTGCTGCCTGAGACCCTTGGTGAGGCCACTGGGGCTGGTGAGACGGAATGGATGTGAGGGTAGTTTGGGGTTGGAAATGGGCACTGCCCCGAGCCAGGAGGGCTCCCTGCCCTTGCTGGGGCGGCTCAGCTCAGCTCACCCAGAGCTGGACAGGGTTGTCCTTGGGGAAGGCAGATCTGCTGGCACAGCCCGGGAGCTGTTCCCGTGTGTCCCGCTCTGCCCGTGGGCTGCAGCAGGACAGTCTCGGCTGGGCTGCGCTGGGAACACCCTCGCTCCTCGCTGGCAAGCTGTCCCAGCCCTGCCCAGGGATGTCCCTGCTCCCTGCCCAGCTCTGGGGAGGCTTAAGGAGCTCTCTGGGAGTCCGTGGGACACGATGGGTCGGTCCTGTGCAGGGACAGCTGGCGGGAGTATCCTGTGAGTTTTGTGCAGAGGGGAGGAAGACCTGGCAGGAAGTCTCCTGCCAAAGCTAGATGGTATTGCACGAGGATTGAATGAGTAGGTGAGAGCTAAATAGACAAGTTATTTCTTGTTGAAAATCCCCAGAACATGGGATTTTTTCTTTCTAACCCTCCCCGGTAGGATCTAAGGTTTTATAGTCCCTGATAGAAGTGCAATTGCTGCCAAGGGAAATGTACAGGAGGACCAATGTTGACTCCATATCCCCTTTGTTTCCCAGATGTCCATCTGTACCTCTCCAGGAGGGCTGCTCTGCATGGGAGGGAGAGACCGAGGAAGAGCCTGTGAAGATGGGGCGGCTGGGATCTCTCTGTATATACTTATATTTAGAGATGTGTATAGTTATAGTTATACCTAGGTAGTTATAGGTATATAGATATTTACATATGTAGATTGAATATTTGTATAGGTATATTTATATATTTATCTGGTTATTTTTATAAGTGTATGCAGTTGTATAGATGTATAGTTATAGTGATGTAGTTATAGGTATATGGATATTTAGATAGGTGTATTGATATTTGTATAGATATATTGATATATTTATTGATATATGTATATTATATTTATATCTGTATTTAACTATATTTATGTATGTATACACTTGTATAGCTGTATAGGTTTATTGATGTAGCTATAGGTATGGATATTTAGACTGGCATATCAATTTCTGTATATTTATATATGGATTTCCTATGTATATATTTATGTGTTATATATAGTATACCATATATAAGATATATTTATAAAAATATAAATATAATACACATTTAATACTTAATTATATTTTTGTCTCTATTTTGTTATCTGTTTATATAGTTATATTTAAATATGTATGGAGTTTTATAGTTATATAATTTTATTTATGTACGTATAGTTATAGGGTTATTTAGATAGGTGTATTTATATTTGTGAATTTATATATATAGGCTGTACAGTTGTAAAAATCTGTAATAAATTAATTTTTTAAACTTAAATTGATATTTGTATAGTTTTATATCAGTAGCACAGTTGTAGCTATTTAATAAATTTAATTTTTTAACTAAGTTGATTTTTGTGTATTTATGTATCAGCATCACGGGTGTATCATTTTGTAATGTAATTTTTAAACTTAAATTGACTTTTGTGTATTTATGTCTCAGTCACAGGGGTGTAGCTATTTGTAATAAATTTCATTTTTTAACTAAGTTAATTTTGTGGTTTTATATATCAGCAGCACGGGTGTATCATTTTGTAATAAATTTAATTTTTTAACTTAAATTGATTTTTGTATTTTTATTTATTGGCAGCACAGATGTAGAAATCTGCAATAAATTTTTAAACTGAAATAAGTGGGTTTTGAAGCGATTAGCAGATTTTTGCAATGAGAGAAGGGGACTGGGGGAAAATATCCAGACATGCCCAGCAGATCCCCCAGTTCCAGTAAAGCTGGGGAATGAAACTGCAGATTTTGGATATACAGTGGAGCCACAAGCTTGGCAAAAACTCAGTGCAAAGGCCTACTAAGATAACGTGACTCCACTCAATGTAGAACTCAAACCAGGAGCAAACCTGGTAAGGATAAATCTTTTAAAGTGAAGGTGACTCCTTGGGGCCTTTCCCTGCCACAGGTTTTGTCATTTTTATTCAAAAGAGGAGGAGCTTTATCCCAGGAGTGAAAGTAAACTCCGTATGCATCAGTAAGGTCTGGATGATATCGGGTGGCCTGAAAAAGTGCAAACTTTTTCTCAACTTTGACCACAATCGATGTCCTTACTAAATCTTAAAACAATTGTATAGTGCATGTGCTATGGCTGTATCCCCTCCAAAAAAAACCAATGAGAACCAAGAATCAGCCAGGAAATCAATAGAAAACAATGGGCAACAGAAATTATGCTGACTCACCTGGCTCTTTTCTGTGCAAATATCACATCTTCAAGCAGCATGCCCAATGGAAATGACCAGGGACAAATTTGAAAATGGTGCTAAAAGAATTAATCTTGGAGGGTAGAAGATTTGTGAATCTATTTGCAGAACACTGGTGTGAAGGACAAGGAATCAGAATGGGGAAAATCTCAGAAATGGAAAAATATGTAGAGCAATTGAACGGACTTTATGATGCAGGCTTTATAGTTATTATGTATACACACATTGTATGTTCCCCCCCGAGTTTGTATTTTCCGGGCATATCCCAGCCTGTCCACCTCCCTGCTCCCCTGTTTCTCTGCTGATTGGCTGGAGGAGCTGCAGGGAGGAAACAACCTCCATTCGCCCCTTCTCTCCCTGGTTCCTCCCACGTTCCTCCCTCTTTTGCCTGTGCCCCTATCCTGATTTGCTCCCCCGTTTGTCTGTCTGATACCCCACCCTATGTTCTGGCCCTTTCCCTGCCTGAACCGGTAAGAATCTGGCGCAGCCCTGAATAAACCATTCTGCCTGCATCCCACCCTCGTGTAGTGCCATGGTCCCATCCCCTCTTCGGACCACGGCACACTGGTGCGTAAAGGAATTAAATAATCAGAGGATGACTAGATGATGAGCACCAAAAGAATCTCATAGTTGTAACAGGCTGAATGAAGTTCACAGAGATGCTTTTGGTCTACAGAAGAGGAGAAGAAAAGTTTATGTGATAAAACAACAAATGTAGGAACTTACCATCCCAGTGGAATTACAGTTATCACCAAAATATATGACTGATAACTTTACCTATGAGAGGCAACATATCTGTGGAACAAAATATTTATAGCAAGGCAATGAACTACATTTCTTAACTGTATGAATATTTCTGTGAATATCTGATGCAAAAATATATAGCTGTCAGGTCTGAGCCATTACTCACCCAAGGCTATAGTGGAAAATTTCTTTGTGGGCACACTGTTTTCTGCCAGTTTATGAACTTAACTTCTTACCTAGTTCTCAGTTCACAAATTACTTCTCCATGTGAACATTTTCACAGTGCAAAGCGTGTGGAGTAACTTTCTAGAAAAAATGCTGTTTGTTTCAGGAGAAGTATTGTCCCTCATTAATCGAAACTATCCCCAAAGCTTCAGTGAAATCTGGGAAAAGGCTAAAACTAATCATTGAAAAAATACTTTAAAAAACCTTGTTTTTACTGGGGCAGGTACAATTGATTAAAGGGTCTACAGGCTCTAAGAACAGACAATGCTTCTGGGGGGCTCAGGATATAGCAGTAAATCTTCTCAACACCTGGTGAGCAGAGTTCTGTTACCTTGAATCAACCTGTTTTGCCGGTATGGTATTTTCCTAAGAGCAGCTGCTCACCTCCAGCAAGGAACAGGCTACTACAGCTGGGATAAAACATGCCAACTGACAGACACTTCAAGTCAAATGGTTGCTATGTCTCTTCCTTCTATATTCTCATGTGACACTTTTCTATGCCACCCAACTATGGCTGAAAAGTGCTCGTTAGTGTATCACAGCTGTCTGTTTCCAGATGAGACACTGTGGTGCTGAGAAAAATATCAAAGACTGTGTTGAGCATTTAAACCAGAGCCCTCATTAGCATGAGAGACACAAAACACATTACTATCGAGTACACAAACACATTTACCACCCTTTCATCCAACAGCAACAGCAGAGGGTGGTTTAAATCCAGACTTAGGGAGGGAGGTTTTCTACAAGCTGACAGTGACAGGATAAGGTGCAATAGTTTTAAACTGAAAGAGGACAGGTTTAGATTAGATGTTAGAGAGAAAGTCTTTACTGTGAGGGTGGTGAGGCCCTGCCACAGGTTGTCCAGAGAAGCTGTGGATGCCCAACCCCTGGAAGTGTTCAAGGCCAGGTTGGATGGGGCTTAGAGCAACCTCGTCTAGTGGAAGGTGACCCTGCTCATGGCAGGGGGGTTGGAACAAGGTGGTCTTTGAGGTCACTTTCAACCCAAACCATTCTCTGATTCTTGGAAAACAGCACCGCTGCTATAATAAAATTCTTGTTGATTAGCTAAATCAGATAGGAGAAGGGGATTATCTTTAGCAAATGTAGTTTTCAAGGGGGATTTGTTTGCTGTTTTTATTGGGTTTTGATGGTTTGGCTTTGTTTTTGGTTTGTTTGGTTGTTTGGGGTTTTTTTAATTCTTGATAGAACTCAAAAAGGTGCAAAGAAAGGAATTAAAGATTTCGGAACTGGAAAAAGATCTGAAAACAATTCATTTCTCATCCAGGCCTTCCCCTGACTGCTAGCAGTTAAATAGGTTTGCTTTGGTAGAACTACAGGTTTTCAATCACTCTGTACAGTAGCATTTTCCATCTAAAGAATAATTTCTGAAACACCTGACCTGGTAGAAAACAGCCGCATCCTCTGAGTTTCCTTCACTGACATTTGACATCCTTCCAGGTGCCAGAACTATGCCTGAGACCTAAAGCAGCAGTAGGAGGTAGGCAGACAAAGAAAGAGATAAACCTTGTTTTGTTCAGCTAATTTGTGCCAATAAGGGAAGCAAACAGCTTTTGGCGTGCAATCTGCTGTCTCTGGTTTCCTTCCATCATGTAGTATTGCTGCTGGAGCACGTCTAAAGGTCAGTTTCATCATGAAAATTCAGTCTGTTGGGCCTGAACAATTTTTACAAATCAAGAACTGTTTTTTTGCTGCCATTTCCATCTGTTGAGGAGTGAGCAGAGTCACTGCAAGCATCTGAGACTAATGACCTGCTTCTCACAGCAAAAGATAAGCCTCTTTATTTATCCTCCAGTATGGCAAGAGAGATTAAGTTGTGAGGGAGTTGTAAACAGTAATTTCATTACAATAGTGGTATTACCAAGTACCAGAGATATACCTGTGTGCACAACTGATGAACTTCAGACATTAGTCCTTTAAGTGGTCCAGAAACTTAATTTCTAGTTATTTTCATAGCTCAGATAATGAATTGGATTGATGAATTGGATCAAAAATGGACTGGCTCAATACTGGGTGGCTGAGTGACTTCTGTCCACTTTCACAACTCAGAGATGTGGGAGCTCTCTGGGTGGGAAGCTCCGACTGTCCTAAGAAATTCCTCCAGGCAGCTCCTGCTGTGACTAGAAGAACTTTAAATGTGTCATTTGACATTGCAGGTGAATAATCTGGCCTTTTTAAGTGATGGTTCTTGCTGCAGCATTGATCTGCTGATACACAGGAAAGACAGTTGTGAACAGCTGGTGCTTCAGAGGCAGAAATAGTTACCCTGGGTAATTGCTTCGACATGGAAAAGCTAAAACGTGCTTTGTACATACTTTCAGAAAGTTTGTGCCAGAGTGTCGCTCAGGGCCTTGGACCATCTGGACTATTAGGGATGAACTGAACAGCAGCAATTCTGACCATCATTTAGAAATGCAGGATGGAGCCAGGTAAGCCAAGGATCCCCAAAGCCTTAGGCAAAAGGCAAAAAAGTTAACACGTGACTTGCATGGCCTTGCCTCTTCACTGCTACTGTCTTTTGCCAGAAATAACTGAGCATTAGCCCACATTCAAATGCTTCCACCAGCACACAGCCTATGATCACTTGCTCCCTGAGAGCCCCATGATGGCTCTAGCAAACATAACAAGGATAGCACAAGCTCCACCAGCTGGCCTAGAACTAGCACTGATGTCTCCCTGATCGTTCAGTCTGACTCCACAATTAGAGCACAAATAGGTCTAAATATCATCTAAGTTTCCTTGTCCATTTCCCCCATCCTTCAGTGATGTCAAATCTTCCCCTCATGGCATCGCTATCCTGAATTCCCACACATGAGAACTTCTCCCCATGTTATTCCTGGAAGTCTTTCTTATTCTGTACCCTGAATACATCCACTGTCAGCACAAGCATTGGATTTTTGTTCTAAAAAGGACTTAACCCAGTGCCTTCTATCTGGAGATGAGCTGAGTTTGGCTTTGAAATGGCTCTGCTTTCAAACCAGCAAAAGCAAATACTGAAAATAAAGGAAATAAAAAAGCTGATAGACTTGCTTAGGCTCTTGTTTAAAAAATATCAGAACAATGTTTCAGGTGAAATGTCAGTCTCTTTTGTACTTCAAGTGCAGAGAGTACACACTTCTAGACCTTTGAGAAACAGAGCACCGTTGATTCTAAAAAATAGTGACTGAGAAATAACGCTGTTTCCCTTTAAATTTTTTGCAATAAAAATAACATGCAATATTTGACAATGAAGTTGTCCGTTATCCATTCTAGTGGTGGATTTCTTTACCAAATTAAAATAGTTGCTTCTCTTTGCCTTTTTTTAAAATATTTTTCTTTAAAAATCAAAATGCCTGTTCTTCTTTGCCTTTTATATTAAAATAATTTAAAAGAATAATATTTTTAAAATAAATCTTTTCTCTTTCCTGAAAGAGTAATTTTTTATCTCTTATTGCAAGGCAATGTGGCCTCTAAAATTTGCTCGTTTATAAACTGAACAACAAAACAACCCCTCTGCTGTTTAAGTCCTGGGTCCCCATTAACCTCAGTCATGTGTACCTCTGCCAGATATATGATTCTCATTATGCACTTTTGTATTAATTTCTTTTTGCAATAAGTAATTTTTATTCTACTCTCCTGAGACAGTGTATCTACTTGACATATTATTTCAGTAAATTTCCTTAAACTGGGCAACTCCAGTCTTTGTATTAATAGGAAATGAAAAGTATTATCTTAAAAAGTGTTTTTCCAAGATTTAATACGGGCTGGAATCAAAACTATTACTGTCTCCTTCAATAATATTGTCAATAACATAAATCTGTCCTGAAAAAATTTTATTTGTTTGGGACATAGAGATAAAATTATGACTCAGGATGAATTTTGCACTAGAACTTGCCTGTCTGCCAGAACATGTACTCTCTGCACGCTGCCCTGTTTGTCATCAGACAGGGGAGAGAAACCAGAGCAGAAGTGTGGGTGGCTGGGCAGAGAGGGGGAATGGAGGCAGGCTGAGGGCATCGTCCTGTGATAAGCCCAGCTGCCCCTACTGCCTACTCTGCCTTAGGCATCTGCTGCACTGTGAGTGTGTGGCTGCAGCAGGAATTCTTATGGGAAGCATGTCCAAAATGGCCCTGGGGCTCCAGGGGCCTATGGCTGTGTACCTCACCACATGGGTGCCACCCTATAACACTCCAGCCCTGGAGCCACAAGCTCATGGGCTTAGCCTAGAGTTTTACTTTAAAATATATATGTAGAGGGTTCTTCAACACCTTGAGACAGTGTCAGGAGAATAAGCCACACCCTTGTTCCCAAGAGGCACTTTTTTTTTTAGGGAAGAAAATAAAGGAGCTTGGCAAAAGGAGGAGACAGATTATATAGCTACCAGCTCTCACATCTGGATGGCAGGGCCACGATTGCATGGCAAACCTATGCCTTTGGTTTTACCTGCTCTGGTCCTTATTGCCAACCCCCGCCAGGTGGGGCCTCTGACCCACTGGACACTCTGGGGCTCCAGGCCAGGGTGAAGGGCAGTATCCTCACTGTCCCTGCTAATCTGAGGCTGGGTTAGGGGCTCCAGGAGCTGTGGGGTGTTGAAGTTTTCCAGGACTGTTTGTGACTGACAGCTGCTCCAGGGCTTCCCCATGTGGGCTCCAGGCCCTGACATGAGGGATACAACACCACCTCAGCTCCATGAGGTTTGACCCATCCCTTCCCCCTCTGCATACACCTCCCTGAACCTGCTTCAAGGTGTTTCTGACCCAACAATTACTGATCTGGTGTGTAAAACACCATCAGTGGGGCACAAGGGGAAGAGGAAAGGAAGTAGAAGAGAGAGAAAGCAGCAAGAGAGACTGTGTGAGGGAAATAACAATTTATTTCCCTTTCTTTGAATAAAGAGCTGCAAGAGCTCTGCTAATGCTGCCAGTGGGGCAGCCTCTTGCTGGGATGAGGAGAGTCCTGGGAGCTGGGGGCCTTCCTGTTTGGAGGGTGCCAGGATCCCCCGGGCAATCACTCCCTGCCCTGGCTGGGCATAGAGAGGCTGCAGCTGCTGCCCTGGGCAGAGGGACCTGCCACTGTCATTGCCTGCCCCAGCTCCTCCTGGGGCTGGTCCTGCTCTGCAGAGACAGGCACAGGTGGGAGATGCCTGGGACCCCTGGGAGAAGCAGCCTCCAGTGTGCTGACTTCCTCCTCCAAGTTACAGCCTTTGGGACCACTGGTGGGACTCCTCTCCCAGGAACTGCTGGTCCTGGAGCTATTGGAGCTGGAGCTGGAGTTGCTGGAGCTGGAGTTCCTGGAATTGCTGGAGCTGGCTCTGGCCACAGGGCTGTTGTTCTCATCTCTGACTGCACCAGATTGCAGCAGCCTCTGGGCCTCCTCGCTGCACTGGCCCACAATTATGTTGATGGCACCATGGATCAGCAGTGCTGTGTGTTGCTCGAGGAGAGGCTCCAGCCTCTCAATCAAGGCCTGTGCATTCGGCCCCTTGACACAGAGGTCGTGCAGGATGGTGCTCTCTGCGGCCTCAACCAGCCACCACCAGCCCCGGTATATTCCCTCCAGCCTCTGGCGCAGCCAGGGCCGCACAGGGTCCAGGAGCTGCTGTCGTCCACGGAAAAGTCCTGCCCAGACCTCAGGAAGAAGACCACCTCCAAACTCCAGCCCTGAGGCCCTCTGCTCAGGTGGGGATAGTTTACCCTGTGGAGAAGATGGATGGGATGCCACTGGGAAATAGGGGCTTTCTCATCCAGGCCGTCAGGAGTTGTCCCTGCCAGGCTGCTGCCATCTGGCAGCTCCTCAGGGGCTGTGATGGCTGTCTCCAGATAGTCATCTTCACTGTCAGAAAACCTGATAGTCTCTACTGTTCTTCTGCAGAGTGGGTATGATGGATTTCTCTGAGCCCACCGCAGGATACAGCCCAGGCAGAAACAGTGGTGACAGGGCAGAGTAGAAGCCATGTCCTTCTGGTGTCCTGGCAAATGGGGCAGTTGCCGTCTTGTCTCCATGGCCATTTTGTGCTCTGCAGTGCGCTGGGGAGAGCTGAGGATCAGGAGCTGCTTACCTTCACTGGTGTCACACACTGCAGGAAGGAGAGGCCATGGTCACTGGCTATGGCAGGAAGGGGAGGAAGAAATGTCCAGGTCCCTTGAGAAGGACGCCCTCCAAGCTCCCTGCACCCCTTCAGCCACCCCAGGGGGACATTGTCCCACACAGCAAACCTTCACTGCTGCCAGTACTCCCAGCTGCCTGAACCAGGCAGGGCCAGGAGTGATGGCCCTGGGACTGGCACTGAGATCTGCCAATGATAGGCACCAGCCAGCACTGGACAAGCCTAGTTTGATTCTCCAGACTTCACTGTCCTGCTCACATGAAGTTCAGGCTGCGACCAGACAGGCCCAGGCTCTGCACACACAGAAGCAGACAGGGACAAGATGTCACAACACACTGTGATGTCACAACACACTGTGATGTCACAATCTACTCCTCAGTGACATCAGCCTCCATGCCCAGTGACAGCACAAAAGGCATTCTGTCCCCCAGGTTCCCAAGATAAGTCATGAGGAAAGTGAGGTCACAATCCATTACCTGGTGATGTCACAGTTCACAGCTTGGTGACATCAGCCTCCACCCCCCAGTGTTGTCACAGCAGGCCTTCCCATGCTGCAGGCACATGGCATCAGCTAAAACTGGGCAATTCAGGCTGGAGACCAGGGTCCCTCTTCCCTTATGAGGATAGACTGGCAGGGGCCAGGTTTCCCAGTGAGGTTTTTGCCATCTCTCTGCTTGGTGGTTTCAAGCCCCATCTGGACAAAGCCCTGAGCACCTGATCTAACCCCACCATCAACCCAACTTAGGCAGAAGCTTGGACCAGAGACCTTCCAAGGTTCTCTGCACCCACATCCATTCTGTGATCTTTCCCTAATGCTGTGAGAAGATTCAAGTTTAAGATGGTCATCAACAGAGTCCATATCAGCAATTTTAGCAGGGTTTTAGGTTCATGTTCTATATCCCTGCAGTATTAGTCAGTTTGGTATCTGCTTAATTTGCAAAGTGTAAAGTTCTCTCTTCACACAGCCTTGTCCCACAGTCCGGCAGTGCAGCAGAACTGATGAACTCCAACTCAAACTGCCAAAAGTAATTGCCTCTGGATCGATGGATAAACAACAGTCATGAGGGATGTTTGCAGCAGACTGGTCACATAGACCCAGGGCTTTCTAAAGGTCTCGGTGGTAAATTCTGCCCGTGCTACCACATGTGGGTGGCACCCATACTGGGGCATAAGGGGAAAGGGAAGGGTACTAGAAAGGGGAAGAAAACAGCACCTAGAGATTGCATGAAGGAAATAAAAAATTCTTTGTTTTTCCTTGAATAAAGAGTTCTGAGAACCCTGTTATTGCTGCCGGCGGGGTGACCTCTTGCTGGGCTGGGGAATGTCTTGGGAGCTGAGGGCCCTCCTCTTTGGGGGGTGCCGGGGACCCCGAGGTGAGTGGTCCGTGCCCTGGCTGGGAGAGGAGGGGCTGCAGCTGCTGCCCTGGGCAGAGGGACCTGCCACTGTCATTGCCTGCCCCAGCTCCTCCTGGCGTTGGTCCTGCTCTGCAGGGACAGGCACAGGGTGTGGCAGATTGTGATGCCTGGGTGGGAAGGCCTCCATTGTGCCAGCTTCCTCCTCCTGCACAGAGACTGCAGGGCTGCTGGTGGGAGTCCCCTCTCGTGAGTTGCTGCAGCTGGAGCTGGAGTTGCTGGAGCTGGTGCTGGAAGAACTGAAGCTGGAGTTGCTGGAGCTAATGATGGAGGAGCTGGAGCTGGAGTTGCTGGAGCTGGTGCTGGCTGCTGGGCTGTTGTCCTCATCCCCAGCAGCGTGGGAGCGCAGCAGCCTCCTGGCCTCTTCACTGCACTGGCCCACAATGATGTTGATGGTGTCCTGGACCAGTGGCACTGTGTGTTCCTCCAGGATGTCCTGCAGCCTCTGGACCATGATCTCCTCATCTGGACCAAAGACACAGAGGGCATGCAGGATGCTGCTCTGTGCATTCCTTGCCAGCCACCACTGGTCTCCATAGATGGTCTCCAGCCTCTGGTGCAGCCAGGGCCGCAGCGGGTCCAGGAGTTGCTGTTGTCGACGGAAAAGTTCTGCCCAGAGGTCAGGCAGGACACCACCAACAGCTTGGGGTGGTGTCCACTGTGAAGAAGATGGATGGGATGCCACAGGGGAATGGGGGCTGTTTCCTTGAGGGCCATCAGGAGCTGTCCCTGCCTGGCTGATGGCATCTGGCAGCTCATCAGGGGCTGTGATGACAATCTCCATGGAGTCATCAGAAAACCTCACAGTCTCTATAATTCTTCTGCAGAGTGGGCACACGGGATTTATGTGTGTCCACCGCAGGATGCAGCCCCGGCAAAAACGGTGGTGACAGGGCAGAGCAGAAGCCACGTCCTTCTGAGTGTCCTGGCAGATGGAGCAGTTGCCATCTGTCTCCGAAGTCATTTTTGTGCCCTACAGCACACTGGTGAGAGCTGAGGATCAGGAGCTGCTTGCCCTCCCTGGTGTCACACACCACAGGAGGGAGTCACCATGGTCACTGCTATCCCGGGAATGGGAAGAAGAAATGTCCAGGTCCCTTAAGAACAACACACTCCCAGCTCCCTGAGCCCCGTCACTCACCCCTGACCACCCCAGGGGATGTTGTCCCAACCTTCACTGCTGCAAGCACCCACAGTGCCCAGCTGCCAAACTAGCCAGGGCCAGGGAAACAGGAGGGATTGCGCCGAGTCTGCACTGAAATCCACTCAGCACCAGAGAAGCCTGGCTCAGTCCTCCAGACCTCACAGTCCTGCCTGGATGAACTTCAGGCTGGAGCCAGACTGGCCAGGCTCTGCCTACAGAAAAATATAAGCAGTGAGGGATGATATGTCACAATGCATCCCCCAGTGGTGTCACAATCTGCTGCTCAGTGATATCACCTTCCACCAGCAGGTGATGTCACAATGGGATGTCTTTCCCTGCCAGCACTCAGTGTCAGGAGAAAAAGGGAAAGACTGTTTCCTGTTTTCAACTTCTACATTTCTGTGTTGCTCTCTCCCTCGGCCACCTGTATCATGCATCTATGGCCTTGCGTCTTATCCCTGCTCCTGACCCCTTGCCAAGATTTCCTGTGAGGGGTAGAGTGGTGAGAACAGTCAGCATGGACTGCCTGCAGCTGGATGACACCTTCTCCTCTCACTGCCTTTCCTTGGGCTATGCCAGGATTTGGAGGACTTGGCTAGTTAGTGCCCAGCTCTGTGTGTGAGTCTCCCACTCCTGTGGGTCATGTCCCTGCCTCAGGGAGAAGCAGAAAGGGGCATTTTGCTCCAGTCTCATCCAGTGCCACTGGCACTCACTCACAGTGCCATGTCCCTCTCCGCTTGCCAAATCTCCATGCTTCTGACAGTGCACTGATGCTCCTCAAAAGCATGAGCGATGGAGCCTGGCCCCACACCTGCAAGAAGGATCTGGAGTTGCTGTCCCTTCAGACTAGGGTAGAAGGGCTGGTGGCACCCTGCTCATGACTCTGGAGAGCCCAGGATCCATCACCACCTGGGCTGGGCTGTCTCACCATCCCTGCTACATCTTTAGCTCCAAGGAAGCCCTGAAGGTCAGGCCCACATATGTTACAGTAACTCATAGCTCAGAGAAAGGGATGAGACTGCCTTGCGCAGGTGGCAGAGGTGTAGGATTGAACTACTGCACCCGAGTCTTCAGCCTTTTGCCTTCATGCAGCCTTTCTTCTGTGGGCAAGGGGAAGGTGTGTTTTATGAGAACAAGCTGCTCTTCTCATCTTCTCACATATCAAGCCTCAATTTCTTCACTGAGCTTGAAAGCTGGAAGTACCTGTTTCTAAGATGGTTCAGATAAACTAGGCTTTAATGTTTTATAACCGAGAAGTTGTTTCCAGAAGTACATGAAATACTGCATCCTTGAGAGCAAGGGGAAGAAACCAAAGGAGCAGACACTGTCTTTTCAGACTTCTCCCAGATCAGTCTGTCTGTGTTCCTCCAGACACACTCCGAATATTGCTAGTAACATCTTGCTCCACATCAGGCATGAGGGAAGGCCACTAGCCTGGCATGTGGCCTCCAGCAGAAGCTGCTGTGGTGGACTATGTGCTGGTGCAGGATCTGTTGCTTAAAGCTCCCAGCTTAATACATTTATTAATACATAGCTCCAGATTAATACATTTTACTTCAGTCAATCAGGTATCGGATTTAATTATTTTAGCTTTGTGTTCTCTCTCTTCCGTATAACCAGTGGTAATAGCAAGTAGACAGAAGCCTTAGGTGCCAGGCCACCTGTCCCTGCTCCCACTGGGTCTCCATGTCCTTTTTCTCCTCATTTTAGGAGCAGATCCTTGCTTACCCATGGAAGGATGAAAACATCTACAAAAAACATTTACAGAAAGAAAAAAAATCAGTGGTTTTCTGCAATGGAAGATTTGGCAGTTCTTGTTTCTTAAGGTTTGTTTGTTTTTCTTATATTTAAATCGTCAGTAATTTTACTCACTTTTTTACTGTGGAGAGTCTTAAAGCACACGATGATTTTCAGTCACATATTTGGCAGCAACTTAAGCTTTAGTCCTGAATGCAGATTCATATCTCCAGAAATCTGGAAGCCTTTCCCAACAATGCCTTCCCATCTAATAGAAATAGGAAAGTAGGGGCAAGAAGTTTAGAAAACACCAAGAGGGGCAGAACATTTGGGAGCAGGGTAAATCAAAGTGGAAACAACAAAATTAATTTTGTTTTCTCTTTAATTACAATAGAGGTTTCCCTTGAGCTTCTGGATTTATAGACTGTCCCATGCATTTTACAGACAGTAGTCTGCTCAACAATATCGCTACAAGACAAGTTTTTTTCTCTTCTTTGGTTTACTTTTGACAAAAATATGTTCCGCTGAGACAAAATATCCTGGTTTACCTTTAAGATTCCCGCTCTGAAAGCCAATGCTCAGCAACATCTGTGTGCTTGTTAAGGAAGTCTGTTAAGTGAGTTCAAAGCAAAACAATAGATGACAAAATGTTTTCAGTCCAGGAGTTGCGTTACTTAATGGCTAGACATACCTCTTATTTCCTATTCCTTACATGAAAATGTGAAAATTTAAAAGGAAAATGAGAAATTGAACCTACTTGGAAAGCATTGGTCTTGAAGAGTAATTTTCATTCTCCATCAGTCACAACATTTGAAAAAAACTTGAAACTGAGCTGCCAGCAAAGTGACGAGTTACTATATGGAAATATTTTATGTGACACATTTCTACAGTTTTCTAAATGGGATTTAATTAATTGAGTTTTATTCTTATTTTGACACACCCATGGTTTAATATGTACTTCTCTGCTAGGGAACCTGTTATTTTACAATCCAGTCATTTTATGAGTTCAATTCTGACCAAGAGAAGCTTGAAGCAGTCAGTAAGAGCAAAAAATTTGATAATATCACCCACAAAATTGCTGAACTCTCTAAAACATAATTAATTCAAGCCAGCTATAAATTCAGCCCACAGAATCCTGAGATGGAGTGAAAGTAGGCTCTTCAAACACCTTACCCAGCTCCTTGCAACCCCTTTGTCACTGCAAGAAGCAACATGGTAAATGCCCATCCCTTGGATACATCACGGCATAAACATCTCTCAGGTTCTCCAGATCCTCCAGTCTGTTTGATGGCCTGCAAGCTCATCCGAATATGGTGTCAGCTTTGGGGACAGGTCCCAACTAAAGGTCCTCAATTAACAAACCCGCTGTGCCGGCTGGTGTTTTACAGTGTGCACAATTATGTTTAAGCCCCACTTTGTTTGCCAGGCAAACTGTGATTGACAGGTCAAATCAAAACTGAAAGGACCAAGGGCCTCTGCTGTTTAGGAAAGGTTAGCGAAAAGCTCGCATCCCACCTCCATTGCAAAAGAAGACACGGATTCCTGATGGCTATGCCAGGCTTGCTCAGCCCTTGGACAGCTGCTCTCTGGCATTTCCACAGGGGTTTGCATTTAGCCTTGAAGACCCGACCTGTGTCAGGAGACCAGTGAGTACAAGAGCTCTTTCTGCTCATGGTGGAACCAACCAGCTCCATTCTACATTTGGTTTCTATCAACTCGCCGTGATTCCAGTTTCATGAGCTGCCGCCGAGCTCTGCCCGTCACTCCGGATCCCGCTCCCCCCCATTCGCGTCCCCGCTCCCCTCACGGCCCCTCCGGGCGCGCTCCGGGCTCTGCCCCGCGGGCTCTCCAGCGCCCCCCTCGGGCCGCGCGGCGCCGCCGCAGCCGCGGCCGTTGCGCTCCGGGCGTTGTGTCCTCGCGGCGCCGCGGGTCGCGACAGTCCGTCCGTCGGCGACCGGCGCCATGGAGGAGCTGCCGCTGCCCGCCGGCGTCAGCCCCAGCACCTTCCCCGCCAAGCTGTGGCAGCTGGTGAACAGCCCACGCGTCCGCTCCGTGCGCTGGGACCCCCGCGCCCAGGGGCTGCTCGTCGACCGGGCGCTCTTCGAGCGGGAGCTGCTGAGCGCGGGCGGCGCGGGCGGCGATGCGGCGGCGGCGGCGGCCCCGGGCGCCTTCAAAGCCACCAACTTCGGCAGCTTCGTGCGCCAGCTCAACCTGTACGGCTTCCACAAGACGTCGGTGCTGGCGGGGGGCGGTGCCGCGGCCCTGCCGGCCTCTGCCGGGTCCCTGCTCCGCTTCTGCAGCCCCTACTTTCGGCGCGACCGCCCCGAGCTCCTGGTGCACATCAAGCGCCTGACCAGGGCCAACAGGGAGCGGCTGGCGGCCGGGCTGGAGGTGCGCAGCCGGCAGCCCAGCCGCTTCCAGCAGCTCCACAGGGACCGGCTGCTGCCGCCCCGGGCCGGTGAGACGGGTGGGACACGCGGGGGGCGAGGGGTTGGAAATGGGAATGGGCACTGCCCCGAGACAGGAGGGCTCCCTGCCCTTGCTGGGGCGGCTCAGCTCAGCTCAGCTCAGCTCAGCTCAGCTCAGCTCACCTGGGGCCAGACAGGGTTGTCCTTGGGGAAGGCAGATCTGCTGGCACAGCCCGGGAGCTGTTCCCGTGTGTCCCGCTCTGCCCGTGGGCTGCAGCAGGACAGTCTCGGCTGGGCTGCGCTGGGAACGCCTTCGCTTCTCGCTGGCGAGCTGGCCCAGCCCTGCCCAGGGATGTCCCTGCTCCCTGCCCAGCTCTGCGGAGGCTTAAGGAGCTCTCTGGGAGTCCGTGGGACACGATGGGTCGGTCCTGTGCAGGGACAGCTGGCGGGAGTATCCTGTGAGTTTTGTGCAGAGGGGAGGAAGACCTGGCAGGAAGTCTCCTGCCAAAGCTAGATGGTATTGCACGAGGATTGAATGAGTAGGTGAGAGCTAAATAGACAAGTTATTTGTTGTTGACAATCCCCAGAACATGGGATTTTTTCTTTCTAACCCTGCTTGGGAGTATCTGAGATTTTATATTCCCTGATAGAAGTACAATTGCTGCCAAGGGAGGTGTACAGGAGGACCAATACTGACTCTCTATCTCCTTTCTTCCTTTCTTCTTCCACTACTCCTACACAGTGAGCTTGGGCCAGAACCTCTTTACTTTACCAGCCAGAGGTTTAGATGTGCCTCCAGTCCCTTCCAGGACAAGTCAAGGTGTTCAAAGCTGTAAGGCTTCTCCAGCACCTCGCAGTAAAGTGGTTGTCACTCCAGGACTTCTCAGGTTTTCAAGGGAGGTCCCGGTCACGTCCACATCCACAGTGCAGCCTGTGTTCTTCCTTCCACTGCTTCACCAAGGGCCTCAAACCGCTGCCATGGCCCTTCCAGAGCACAACAGCTGCACAGCTTCAGAGCGGAACTCACCAACCTACAATCCTGCAGGTATGGAAACAGCTTCTGCACTTGCTTTTCAAAACATACTAAAAAGTGATAGGTTTAAGTATCTTTCTACAATGCTCTGTCACCTGTTTATCTCAAGCGAGAATCAGATAGAAAGCGCAAGGTCTAAAAGGAAGAGAGATCTTGAAAGCAAAAAGATTCACACTCTGGTTTTCCTATCCTTCCTCCAGATTTAGAGCATCCCCTGGGGGTTTTGCACACAGCCTCTCTGTTGAGGTGAAAGGGCAAGGAGAAAAGCATTTGCCCACAACTAGTCGGTGTTAGGTTGACTTTCATCTTTCTTTTAATTAAGCAAAACTAGGACAATGATAGGATAGTGCAGATTTTTAAGATTATCTGTCCTGCAAAGAATGACATTACTTTTAGATGACCTCTGTGTGTTACCCAAACAGTCCTACCTGGAGAACACTGTTCCACAACGCTGCTTTTTAGAATAAAATCGCAGTTCAGTTTTGGTGTGTGCGTCTGAAGATGTAATCTCGTCTTAGGTGAATCCGCTTTCAGTGGTATGTTGTGATGAGAAACCAAAACAGCCAAATCAAAAAGCTGATGGGAAGATACAGAAGTCTGCAATTATGAAGCTTTTATGTGTGTGTACAGACTTTACAATCCATATTTTAATACTTTATATAATATATATAATTTATGTATAATTTCAATGTACACATCAACTAGAATACTTTTCTTTAAGATTAATAAATCGGTAATTGGTCTTCAGATGACCCGGAGAGCACAAATACATTTCTGGAATTGAGTTTACTGTGTGATTCCTGAAATGTTTAATCAAAGGAA